TGGAAATTTAGATAAAAATCGTAAAGCAAAAGAAACTTTTACAAGCTGGCATACTGATAAATGTTTGTTTCGTATCTATTTTGAAGAAGAAGTGAGTTAGACAGCTCAACATTTTACTTTGATATGAGTCAAAGTTAGAAATGATTTTTTTATAGCTGTGTTTTTACCATTAACGTGAGAATCCTTAAATGTAGTGTTAAACAAACAAATCATACCAATTAATAATTGTTAATTTATTACAACAATTATTGATGAGGACTGTTTTTGTTTTTGTAGACCTTTAACTTCCTTTATTGGTAGGAAGCCATACTGATGAAATACAATTTATTAAAGAAAAGGAAACAATAAGCTTTACCTGTTTGTTTAAGAGTCAGTTTTAAAAAAAAATTGTATTACACTTTTATTTGTTAATATTTATTTATTATTTATTTATAATAATAATATCATTTATAAAAAAAAATTGGGAAAAATATTAATTTTACTTAAACTCATAAAACAAATCATGAAATCTGTTGATAAAATTGTGCTATAATGTGACCTTTTCATATACATCATAATTTTATTAGTTAATATTTATTTACTAATCTATTCACTCATAAAAAAATAAATGAAGAAAAATAGTAATTTTTACTTTAATTCAAAAAAAAAATCATAAAATTTGTTGATAAAATTGTGCTATAATGTGACCTTTTCCTATATACATTTTAAAATCTACCACTTAAAATAATTGATCTAATACAAGTATATTATGACTTTTTTCTATGCATTCAAAAACTCCATTTTAATTATTTATTGCATACAAGTACAAAGTAAATTTTTCATGTGCATTTTAACTTACTTCTTTTAAATACTTTTACTCCATCATATATTGTGACTTGTTTTACTATGACTTTATTTCCTGTGACTTTATTTTCATTTACCAAAGACTCATATGAATAATTTTCCTAGTTTCCACAATATGGCTTTCACTAGTAGAAGTCATTCTGCTGATGTTTGAGTCAACCATTGAACCTATAACAGAGGGTACTCTAATTTCAATTCTTGTGATTTCTGTAACTGTGATAGTTTTTACAGGATGGGGCAGTTAACCCAATGCCCAACACTCCAACCTGGAGGACCAGGGAATTTTGTGGTCAAGGTTTCCATCCTCTAGAAGGGCTGCTGTCCTGAGCTAATGAATCGATTCTATCCAGGTTTGTTTTTTTCGAAGTTTACCATCTCCTAGATGAGTTGCCTTACTGGGCTACGACTCTCATCTAACCGACTATTTACCCATAGCTGGGAACACGTAGTAACTCGCCCTGAAATGGTTTCAAGTTCATATCTAGACAAACTAGTGAATATAAAGTTGATTTAGATATAGTGTACATACGATGCATGGCAATCTATTGACAGCATTTATTTTGTCAAAGTTGAATTTAATGTAAATATTTGCAATTTTTGCAAACTAAGTGATGCAGACATCAAGAAACAAGTGTTATGTGCAGTTCATGTCTGCAGTGGTAGCATTTGTTTTGTTGAAGGCTAAAACTAAGGAAGCTATTTTGCCCGAGCTGGTAAAATAGCAACTGCCATCAATATATATATATATATATATATATATAGTGGCCCCACTTCTACTCTGTTGTTCCTATGTCTCAAAATTCTGCTCGCTCTGGCCTGGGACTATTATACTATTAAACTATAAGAAAAGTATTTATCTTTTCCGAAACAAATTTGATGATTTAGTTAAAATTAAGAAAAACATTATTTTAATCGGCATTAATTCATCTGTGTGTATAAACATTTCTTTCTAGTAAATTTAGTTAAAATGGTTTTATTATTTGTATATTTATGTATTTTTATTTTTTCATTTTTAATCCACCAATTTTAATGGTATTCTATAGGCTGACTTGTTCGCTGAAATCTATTGTTTACATTTATCGAAGGCTAATTAACCATGTGACAAGATAAGCTGTCAATCAAAACCAAAAACCAATAATCCGCTATCGGGACAATGAAATCTCAACAGACCAATCAGTATCCAGTCCGGTTAGTATAATAGTCCCAGCTCTGGCTAAGTCCCCAACACATCCTACTTTTTTAAGTATAGAGCAGCTCCTCTAAGGTAAAGTAAGGGGACACTTTATATATAGTCAAGCATCTAAATCCTGTTTTTCTGGTCTCTCTTTTTTTCTTTATTTTCTGAATCTGGAGTACCCCTTGTAAGTCCCCACTGGAAAGCCACCAAGCCACAAATCCTATCTTTCATATGCTGGATGAAAACAATGTACCGGTTTTGTTCATTGTTGATGTCTGTACAGTGACTTTATTATAACTGCTTACAGCCACATTATTTGAACTCTGGTGGATAGTTGTCTCATTGGTAATCATACCACATCTCCTTATTTAACTATGGGTTATTTGAAGTAGATGTCTAACAAATATTCAATCAGTTGAAAAAAATTAATTCTGCAATGATTTACATGTTGTCATTTTGAGATTTCAATTTATATGTATATATATGTAACACTCAGAAACGTGTCCTTCCCCCCAAACATGTCCGATTCCCCCAAACGTGTCCACATGTCACTGTAATGCAAAACATGTCTTATTGTAAAAGGGCGCCAAAGCGTGTCATTTGTATAAACACCCAAACGTGCCCAATTCCCCAAACGTGTTCAATCCCCCAAACGTGTCCATATCAAGCTTATTTTTTTTCTTTTACTGGAACTATCATTCGTGTCCATATTATAAATTCGTAGGTTATTTGGTTATTGCTTTTTCATTAACGTATACTCATTTTACTATTTCATTAAAAAATAGAAATAAATTACTTTAGGTCTTTTTTTAACCGGCAGTATCTCCTGGGTAAAAGTGGGGGCGTCTGTTCTGCTATGTTGGATGTAAATGTAAGCAGCCATGCTCAGTTAATTTGAAGATATTAAATCAAATACCTCGTGTAGGGAGAATGTCACTTTCTCTGCGCATTAAAACCTTTGTAGCAATTCACTCTTTCATGGTGCCATCAGTTGTATTTTGGAAGGCAATATTCTTTTTTTTTTTAATTTCCGCAACTTTTATTTAAAACAGCCTCTATTACATAACGGAGATTGAAGTAGTTTCTTACTGAAGTCATAAAAAAATCGGTCTTTACTGGCTCTTAAATTTTTTATATTAAAATCCCAACTAGTGTTAATCCCGAATAACCGTAAAAATTTAGGCCTAATCCTAAATTCCCGGTATGATAATAAAACCTATGTACAGTATTTATTGTTAACATGATGTCGTTCAAATAATGCATGAAATATTTGACACTGGACGTTATGTCTCTTGTTTGTGTGTCTTTAGTGATGCTTGAAACCTAAAATTTATTACAAAACCTGATAAACAGTAAACTTGTGATTTGAAGAGCTTTTAAAATACCAGAACTGTTGAAAAAAGGGAAGTCAATTCTGCGGAAAGCCCGCCGTGCAATACTCGGTTTAATATAAAAGGCATCATCAGAGTTTATTAGTACAAAATAATTCACTTGGTAAACAACTAATTCAACTGTACTAAATTATTTGTATGTTCACTCTAAATCAGCATGCAATACTTGCAACTTGCATTTCAGTCAAAAGTTAATTCATATGTTACAGGTTAAATTTGCAATTATGATAATCATTAACAACCGGCATTGAACAAACTAATGATAATAAATGACCACTTCATCAACTATGTTCCCCCATCATAGAATTGCCGTAATCGTTATTGATGTCGTTTAGGACATACATGTATAAGTGCTAAAAGACGTGAGACGTTCTGGCGTTTAAGAGTGGACATGTTTTGGCGAATAACAATTATCGGACAAGTTTGGGGGTTATGAAATCGGACACATTTGGGCAATATTGAATATTACGGACACGTTTGGGGAGAATAGACACATTTGGGGGAATCGGACAAGTTTGGGGGGATGGACACGTTTGGGAGTGTAACATATATATCAACAATAAAATTTGGTTGTATAAATGGTATCACTATGTTTGTAATTGTCCAAGGTTTTGTGTAAACATTTCATTTAAGTTTCCTAATTTAAAGTATTTATGTACTGATTCCAGCTTAATATTTTGGGCCATTAACAATGTACTAAAAATTCAAAAATTATTAATGGTTTTTATCAATGCAATAATTTAAAGCTCAGAAAATGATACCAAATCCCATCATAAATCAACAGCAAAGTCTATGATTTGCTTATGAAAGCCAAAAATAATTCGGATAAAAAACAAAATAGGTGCACAACTACTTTGAGTCATAAAAAATCTGAGCCAGTTACATAAATTCCAATAAGGGGTTTAAGAGGAGTTTTGGTTATAAAATTAGAAACCTGAATAAATATTCTGATCAAAATACAAAATGTGAGGTAGACTATGGCATTATATGGGGAAGATTTTGAGAAAGTTTAATCAAATCTGATTAGGGATTAAGGAAGAGTTGCAGTTGTGTGTGTATTTGATAAAATTCATGCCATGGAAAAGTTTAACCCAAACTAGATGTCGGAATGATAGGAATGGCCCTACTTGCATTAAAAGTTTGAAGCCATTTTTAGGAGTGGAAAAGTGAGAATGAAAGTCGATATAACTGTTATTTTCACGAAAGTCTAAAGCCAGTAATTTCAGAACAAATCAGCAGAGTGGAACCAAATGTAAACTTGATCTGTAACTCATCCTAGTAGACTCACATACTAAAAATCAACTCAATTTGTGAAGGCGTTTAGAAAAAAAAGTCAGTATAACTGTTCGTTGCGGAATAATAAAATGACAGAATGACGGAATGATGGATACAAATCATTCATCTGAAGAAATGAAATAGGCAGTAAAAAAGGAACATTATGCGATTTAGATTTTTTGTAAGTTTCACAAAATTTTGCCATTTGGTCCAGGATCAGTTGCAGGTACAATAGTAATATGACAGGAAAACCAAAGAAAATGGATGGAATACTCGATCACCAGGAGTATAATGAGTAAAACCAAACAAAGCAATAACAATTAATTTTTTATTTTTTGTATTAATTCATTTCAACTTATTATTTTTATTTTATCACAAATTTCATTTATGGAAAATGCATTGTTTATTTTTCTTATATTCATCACACAGCTTTCAGTACTTCTGATAAATTTCCTAGTCTTTTAGAAATATGTTTAGATTTCTGTTTATTATCTATTTCTTTTTTTCTGGCATATTCAAGGTCCTCTTTAAATATTTCTGCCAGTGGATCTATCATGTCATTCAATACTCCAACATCACTTAATTTAACCTGAAAATAATGAAGTATTATAAATATACATATTTCTAATTAATGTATTGAATTAATGCAGTTTTGTTTGTTGTTGTATTATCAGATGATGTATTTTGGTTGATATTTGTTTTTGCGGTGTTGACCTGTGGACTTGCATTAGATCTCCTTTTATGTACATCTTTTTATTTTCACAAATTTATCCTATAACACTGAACATTTCCACATTTATGCAGTTTTTAAGGTTCACAAATTAACAATTTTGTCAATTTCCTGCAACATTAGGACAAATTATATAACAATGTATTGTATCAACATGTATATTGCAATTTGTAATATTCTACATCATGAACCATTAAGGTAGCTGGGGTGTCCAAATGATGGACCATAGATTTTCATTAAACATCTGTTAAAGACTCGTGTGTAAATGTTCTTTTTTAATTTTATTTTAAAATAAAACTGGGGGTCACGGACCTTGTTTTTTTCATTAAAATACATTGAAATTAACAAAATTACAGTTATTTTATATGGCTTATATAGGGAAAACTAAATTTTTCCTTATTGAAGAAACATTAAATGATAGAATTGGTTACATGCAATATGAACATTGCTTCTTATAAAAACTTCCAAAATATCGAATAATAATAGAGGGTCACCAGCCCGATTTTCTTGAAAATTCCCAAAACACAAATTGTCCTATTAAATTCAGTATAATTATCTCCCTTTGATTTTAAAAGGATTTTTTTTTCAGAAAATTTAATATACTTTATGACACTTAATTTTTTGATAGTTTAATCTTTAAATTTAAAGTGTTATGTGTTTTTGTTGTATATTGAATGATACTTGGAAAAATATATTCCAAAAAATATTTTTGCAACATGCCCAGAAGGGATGCTCAGAAAAAGACACCTGATCTACCTTAACACACCTTTAATTTTCATTAGATATGATAAGACATATAGAACTAGATTATAATTAAATAAATACATGTACAGGTATCCAATTACTTGATACCTATAGCAATTTCTACCTATGTATCAGAGTGTATTTTTCTTAGAGAATAAAGCAAAAATTAATGCTTAATATTAAGTTAAAATTGATTTAATAAATAAATAAAATGCTGAGATTCAACATTCTCGTGCTGTTTGCAGTGCTAAATCATGGTCTTTATCATTTTTACGTTTTCAATATGTTGTCCAAGTTCTGAGGTCTCATTCACTTTTGTTTGTTCAATATGTTGTGCTAATACTTAGGTCTCAATTACTTCTGTTTGTTCTAAATGTAGCATGACTTTTGTGGTCTCAATAACTTTTATTTGTTCAATATGTTGTGATATTACTGTGGTCTCAATTACTTCTGTTTGTTCAATATGTAGCATGACTTTTGTGGTCTCAATAACTTTTGTTTGTTCAATATGTTGTGCTATTACTGTGGTATCAATTACTTCTGTTTGTTCAATATGTTGTGCTAATACTGTGGTATCAATTACTTCTGTTTGTACAATATGTTGTGCTAATACTGTGGTATCAATTACTACTTCTGTTTGTTCAATATGTAGCATGACTTTTGTGGTCTCAATAACTTTTGTTTGTTCAATAAGTTGTGCTAATACTGTGGTATCAATTAGTTTTGTTTGTTCAACATGTTTTTGTGGTCTCTACCATGTTTGTTTTGTTGTGCTAAAACTGTCTAAATTACTTCTATTTGTTTAATATGTTGTGCTAAAACTGTCTTAAGTTTAATATGTTGTGCTAATTTTGTCCTCACAATTACTTTTGTTTATTGACCTACCTTCATAAAGTCATATGCCAACCCAAATTTATTATGGAACTGTTTATGCTCAACGAGTGGTATTCTTTTGTATCTCTGACTAAAATGGGTCAACATCTGGAACTTTGCTTCCATTTGAATCCCAACCTCTATAGCTTGTTTTACAGTGCTAAATATACAATAAATATATTTCAAAGATTAAAAGTTCAGCATGGCAAGTGAAGACTAAAACACTGGAAAGAAATGAAGATAAAATTTACAGCAGTCCCCTCTGGATCTTTCAAGGTTCTTCTTAAGAAAGATCATCTACTGTACATTAAAGCCTTTTTTGTGAAATACTGTGAACCAGCTTAATTTCACACATACTTTATTCCACGTTAAGTTTTTTCAATTTAATTTCGCAGCGATTTATTACTGCGATCTTTTCATTTCTTGATATATTTGTATAAGGGAAGATTTAAATTTCATATATTCGCTATGATTTAAATCCACGTTATTATTTTTTTAACTGGAAAAAATTCGTGAAAATTAGATGGTTTACAGTAACTCCTCATCAAATCAAATACGATCTCTACAAATGGAATACATTTCCTCTACTAATGGAAGTCTTAAATGAGTAAAACACAGCTGCCAAGGATCTGGATATTTTTATGAAGGGGTTCTATTTTAAGAAGGTACATCCTATTTCTTTATTGCATCTTATGCAAATCAAAAAAATAATCTTGAAAAATTGGGTTCAAACTTCACAGGCCCCCTTCTGGATCTGACAAAACACAGTATATAATGTAAAACATAATTACCTATGTCTTTTTTTGGCAGCATCAGCAATCATATCAGACTGTAGGGTAGCTTCATGGATTAATAAATCACAATCTTTCCCTACAAAAGATGTTTTAAGGTAGATGGGGTGTCTAAATTATAATCCATAGAATTTTTTAATAATTTGCCAAAATGTAGTTTATATCAAGCTTTTTAAAAAAAAATGACAAAAAGAATGAGTCACGGGGCTTATTTTCACGCTACAGGTTGTTCAAAATTAACAGATTTTGTATAGATTATGCATGGAAAACCCAATTTTCTGCCATAAAACGAAAACTACACCATAGAATTTTGAGAATAAAATATGAGAAGATAGCTTTAATAGTATGCTTTCAGATAAGAAAAAGAAAAAATGGGGTCACCGGACCCGTTTTCTTGCTACATAATAAAATAGGTAAATTCCTAACACATTCTATTGTAAAAGTACCTTTATCTGAATTATCTGCCCTTACATTTGAGTTGCCTCCCCTTATGTGGCAAAGTTGGAAAAAATTGAATCAAACAAAAGTTTTCTGTTTTTTGTAAAATACAACCATAAATATGATAAAACATGTCATTTTCTATATTGAAATGAAAATTCTTACACATGAATACCTACTACTCTAAAAATTTGCACATTCTATTAAAGATCTAGACCGATTGTTTTCAGGTATTACAATATCCAAGATGGAGGAAGACACCCTATCTACCTTAAGGTTTAAATTTTTTACAATTGATATGGTTTTCCTTTTGTTTGATAGACATGCCACATTATGCTGTAACTACCTTTTTTGTAATTTACCTTTCAGATAGTATAATAAACTGTTATCACAGAGATATGTCTCGCCTTTTTGTTATTTTGATAATGCAAATGTTGAAATTAAAATAGCAATACTTTAACATGAAAGTTATGCAAATATTCAAAGTCAATGAACCATGACTGAAGGTACATGGCTAAAAAATCTCCATGGAAATAAAATGTGCCAATGTTAATACAACTGCATACCAAATACCATTGACTTATTATAAGTCGAGCCCTTTAAACAAACCTAAACACAAACATTAACTTGTAAATGTTTCATCAAAGTCAATGAACCATGATGAGGGGGTGGGGGCTATATAATCTCCATGGAAACGATACTTGCAAGTGCCAATTAATTTGCATACCAAATATCACTGACTTAACATTATCAGTTTATCTTAAACCGATCTAATCAAAAACTAATACATGCCGTAAACTAAGCAAAAGTTTCAGTCAATAGACCATGACTGAGGGGGGGGGGGGGGGGGGGGGGGGGGGGGGGGGGGGAAATATTCTCCATGGAAATGAGATGTGCTAATGCTTAAACAACTGAATACCAATTAACATTGGCCTACCACTAATGGTTCCCCTTGAACTGACCTAATCACAAACTAACACATGTAAACTAAGCAAAATTTTCGAAGTCAATAGACCATGACTAATGGAGCGGAGCCAAATATTCTCGATGGAATTGAGATGTGCTAATGCTTATACAACTGCATACCAATTATCATTGACCTACCACTAACGGTTCCCCTTAAACTGACCTAATCACAAACTAATACATGAAAACTAAGCAAAAGTTTCAAAGTCAATAGACCATGAATAAGGGGGCTGGGGCCAAATAATCTCCATGGAAATGAGATATGCCAATGCTTATACAACTGCATACCAATTATCATTGACCTACCACTAACGGTTCCCCTTAAACTGACCTAATCACAAACTAATACATGAAAACTAAGCAAAAGTTTCAAAGTCAATAGACCATGAATAAGGGGGCTGGGGCCAAATAATCTCCATGGAAATGAGATATGCCAATGCTTATACAACTGCATACCAAATATCATTGACCTACCACTAGTGGTTCCCCATAAACTGACCTAATCACAAACTAATACATGTAAACTTAGCAAAGTTTCAAAGTCAATAGACCTTGACTGAGGGGGCAGGGCCAAATAATCTCCATGATAATGAGATGTGCTAATGATAATACAACTGCATACCAAATATCATTGACTTACCACTAGTGGTTCACCATGAACTAGACCTAATCACAAACTAATACATTGTTGGTGCCGCCGACGCCGGAAACAGCATACCTATGTCTCCCTTTTTGACTCCGTCAAGGCAGGACAAAAACAGATTACTAGCAAAGTCATATAATATAGCAGAGACACTTTACTGATTTTGTGAGAAATATTGGCACACCTTCATCATTAGCTTTTCTAGATATTTCAGTCTATCCAATATGTTAAAAACAATATTTTGTATTTTTTATTTTTTACTGTGGATTCATTTATTTTCGTGGGTATCAATTTTCGTGGTTTGCTGAAAACTTTCATATTCGTGGATATTTGATTTCGTGGTTTTGCCAATCTCTGTATACAAAGCCTATTGAAAATATGTTATTCGTTGAACATTTGAATTCGTGGTTCACCTGTATCCACGAAACCCACGAAAATTGGTATCCAACGAATAATAATGAATCCACAGTAACTTGAATTATCTATCAAGGCTATAAATAGGTGACAGATAATCATTTCATCATAAACCAAACGTTTAATTTTTAAATATTTCACATGCTTTGGAAAGATTCAACTAAAGCAGATTTTCTTTTAAACACAAAAGAGCCCAGCTTTTGCCCAAAATATGTCAAATAACTTATCTATTAAGCTTTGAAAGAAATAAAATACATTACAAAAACCGTGGACTGGGTCATATTTTATATAAATAAAGGAAAAAAACTGTCATCTAATGTAAATAAAATACAATGATACAAATTAACAGGTCATGTCATCATGGAAGGAGCATGATCTAATGGGTATCACAAAATCAATTGTTAACTGATTTGTACTTGTGTGCGTTATTACAAAAATATTTACACTGTGCAATACAAGGTGTAATGGTACTTAAACTGACCTGTTTCAATGAGAGCTTTACATGGCATAGTATCACCAGAGTAAACAATCTTCCAGCCTGACTTATGTGTAATGACTAGTCCACAAGCATGCTTACTATGTAGAACTGGCACTGGTAAAAACTGAAAATATACACAATGTGTATACTGTATGATTATCACAATTCATTCAAAAAGCAGTCAACAATTTTCTAATTTTTTTTTAATTACTATATATATACTATAAACCAACTTATTTTTGTGGATACCAGTACTTTATTTCGTGTTTAGCTCTTTCTAGCCCACTTTACGGCAATTTAATTTCAAATTTTCCTGATAAATATAGTTTAAAAAGGAAAGATCCAAGTTTTAAATATTCACAACAATTTATATTCGTGTTATTTTTCTACTCATGCCAAATTTGGTTGGTTTACAATATGCTTATCTCATTTTAATCAATTAGCAGTTATCTTTTTATCAGAGTATCATTATTGGCAGATAAAGGATTTTTTTTACCAAGATATTCCCTGAGCATAACAAGGGAAAATAAATGTGGATAGTGTCCACATGTGGACACAGATGATGCCCCCGCTTGCATATCATATAGTTATAAAGGGACATAACTGAAGAACGGTAAAAGTGATGCTACCTAAATTTGAACTTGATCTGAGTTTTGTGGTAATAAGCATTGTGTGTAAGTCTCATAACATTTGGTTGAGGCTAACTTAAGTAGAGAACAGAAACTAAAAATTCAGCAATTTTTCTATTTGTAAACACGCATAACTCTAGAACGGTTGTGTATAAGTTTTATAACATTTGGTTGAGACAAACTAAAGTTAGAGAACGGAAACGAAAATTCAGCAATTTTTATGTTTAAAAAGGGACATAACTCAAGAATGGTAAAAGTGCTGCCAACAAATTTCTTACTTAATCTGTATTATGTAGTAATAAGCATTGTGTATAAGTTTCATAACATTTGGTTGAGGCAAACTAAAGTTAGAAAACAGAAACAAAAAATTTGTACTTGATCTTAGTTTTGTGGTAATGATTATTGTGTATAGATTTCATAATGTTTGGTTGGGGCAAACTTAAGTTACAGAATGGAAACTAAAAATTTTGCAATCTTTGGATTTATAAAGGGGCATAACTCAATAATGGTTAAAGTGACACTACCCAAATTCAACTTGATCTGTGTTTTATCAGTGGAAGTCAAAATTAAACATTGCATTGTATAAAGTATTGATGTAGTTTATTCAACTATAATCATGGACAAAGGAAGATAACTCCAATTTTAGAAATGACTTGATATTTAGAAGAAAATAAAAATTTTGCAATTTTTCCATTTATAAAGGGGCATATCTCTAGAACGGTTAAAGTGACGCCACCAAAATTCAAACTTGATCTGTGTTTTGTAGTAATAAGCATTGTGTATAAGTTTCATAACATTTGGTTGAGGCAAACTTAAGTTAGAGAACAGAAACTAAAAATTTTGCAATTTTCTATTTATAAAGGGGCATAACTCTAGAACGGTTAAAGTGACGCCACCAAAATTCAAAGTTGATCTGTGTTTTGTAGTAATAAGCATTGTGTATAAGTTTCATAACATTTGGTTGAGGCAAACTTAAGTTAGAGAACGGAAACTTAAAATTTTGCAATTTCCATTTATAAAGGGGCATAACTCTAGAACGGTTAAAGTGACGCCACCAAAATTCAAAGTTGATCTGTGTTTTGTGGTAATAAGCATTGTGTATAAGTTTCATAACATGGTTGAGGCAAACTAAAGTTAGAGAACGGAAACGATAAATTCAGCAATTTTCCATTTGTAAAGGAGCATAACTCTAGAATGGTATATAAGTGATGCTACCAAAATTCGAACTTGATCTGTGTTTTGTGGTAATAAGCATTGTGTATAAGTTTCATATCATTTGGTTGAGGCAAACTAAAGTTAGAGAATGGAAACCAATTTTGGTACGTACATACATACGTACGTACAGACAGACGGACAAGGGTAAAACTTAATGCCCCCTCCGCTACGGCGGGGGCATAAAAATTGAATGTTTCCAAGTACAAATTGCAAGAAATGCAGGGTGTTCATAAAACTGAAGCAAACTCAAAGTCGTTCTAAAGAAAACAACATAGTACTCCAAATACACATTATTGTGAAAGCTAGTATATTATCTCTAACTCTTCAAAGCTGTGAGCTGACTAGTACCAGTTTTACATTTATTTCATTGTCTAGTTTAATCACTGGCACTTGGTTCTGATTGATTGTTGGTGTTTAAGCCACTTAGAGCATTGTTGGCCATATTGTGGCTATCAGTTTTTATTGGTGAAGGAAGCCAGAGGGTATCGGAGAGAACCTGATTTTTCGGCAGGAAAACTGACAATCCTTGTCTATGAAGATTGGAGTTAAACTGCCACATGCGGGATTGGACCTAACCGCAGTGTTGACAAGCTAGTGATGCAGTAGATGAACTACTTAGAACACTAGGCCACCATGGCCCCTTATTCTTTTGAACATATCCATATAAGTTAAGCAAATTATCCATTGCATCATATTTAATTTTATGTATTTATTTTGTTCAAATTTCATGAAAAAACCTTTTACTACAATATACATAATAGAAGAATTAAATGTTCATATTTGTCTTGTATGACTAGTTCTACATACTTGGCAATCATACCACATCTCTTCTTTTGTTTTAGGTGGATTGTTGTCTCAGTGGAAACCATATCAAATCTCATTATTTCTATATTGTTCAATGTATAACAAACTTACATCTGTACAATTCAGTTTAGTCTTTACTACTTCCAATAAAGTTGGGTCTCTTTCATTTTTAATTGGAACAGTATATGGTTCTCTCATTAAATTCTGACTATATACTAATCTGAAAAGTACAACATAAGTCAGATTATCAAATTGTTTTAAATTAAAATGTGAATAATATGCCCCAATTATATAAGTCATATAATACTCTACAAAAAAGAGATATGTATCAAAATTTTGGTAAATCTTACTAAAAATTCAAAGTACAGAAATAAATAAAAAAGGAAGAAGATAACTAAGACAAATGATTTATATTTCTACACTCTACATTTATGAACATATTCATATGTACAATGTCTTCCATGGACTTCTTGGACATATACAAACAACTTCAATCAAATACAAACTTTTATCAACTTTTCTTTACAGACCAAACTAGAAGACAAGAACATAAAATCAAATGAATCCAAAAAATCTGATAATCAAATTCCCTTAAATTGTTTAGCAAATAAATACAATTGTTCAACTCTTGAATCAAAGACTATTAAAAACACAAAAACATACAAAGAAATAAAAACAAAACAAGACTTATTGTAATGTATGAACATAACTGTAAACAACATTTAATAAAATGCTCCGCTGGGCGCAGCTTAATACGACCGCAGAGGTCGAACCCTGAGCAGTTGGGGCAAGTATGGACACAACATTCAAGCTTGATACAGCACTGAATTTGGATTGTGATTAAATATTTGACACAGCATAGGTTTCTGACACAGAATGAATGTGGTCTAAGAACTTAAAAATTTTTAATTTACCTATTCAAACCATATCATTATTATTTGCTTTTATATATAAATCAGAAATAACTAATTTAAAATGGAAAATTTTTAAAGAAAAAAAGGGGGAAAAAATCCCCACCCCAAATTTTTGAACCCCCTTATGATTCATCACCCCCAAACTCAATCCCAGCCTTCCCTTTGTGGTTTGGTACCTTGCAGTACAATTTCAGACAGATCCATACACTTGAACACAAGTTATTGTCTGGAAACTAGAAAAATGCTTGTTTTTTTACCCCTTATTCCTCAACGTTTTGGGCAATTACCCCCAAACTCAATTCCAGCTTTCCCTTTGTGATATGGAACCTTGTAGTACAATGTCATAAAGATCCATAAACTTACACACAAGTTATTGTCCTGAAACTAGAAAAATGCATGTTTTTTGCCCCTTTTTGACCCCTAATTCCTAAAATTTTGAGGCAATTAACCCCAAAAATAATCCCAGCCTTCCATTTGTGGTATGGTACCTTGCAGTACAATTTCAGAGAGATCCATACACTTGAACACAAGTTATTCTCTGGAAACTAGAAAAATGCTTATTTTTGGCCCCTTATTCCTCAACGTTTTGGGCAATTACCCCCAAACTCAATTCCAGCTTTCCCTTTGTGATATGGAACCTTGTAGTACAATGTCATAAAGATCCATACACTTACACACAAGTTATTGTCCTGAAACTAGAAAAATGCATGTTTTTTGCCCCTTTTTGACCCCTAATTCCTAAAATTTTGAGGCAATTAACCCCAAAAATAATCCCAGCCTTCCATTTGTGGTATGGTACCTTGCAGTACAATTTCAGAGAGATCCATACACTAACACACAAGTTATTGTCATGAAACTAGAAAAATGCTTGTTTTTTGCTCCTTTTTTGGCCCCTAATTCCTAAAATTTTGAGGCAATAACCCCCAAAATCAATCCCAGCATTCCCTTTGCGATATGGAACCTTGTGGTACAATATCAGAGAGATCCATACACTAACACACAAGTTATGTCTGGAAGTTACAAAAATGCTTATTTTTGGCCCCTAATTCCTTACCTCTTGGTACCATAACCAATCCCAACCTTCCTTTTGTGGCAGTGAACCTTATGGTAAAATTTCATAGAGATCCATTCACTTAAACTAAAGTTAGAGTGTGAAAACTAACGAGTCTTCAGATGACGAAGACGTCTACGCCAACGTCATACCAATATACGACCGCAAAATTTTTTTGTCTTCAGACGACGTCGACGTCAATGCCAACGTCATACCAATATACGACCGCAAAAATTTTTTTTGCGGTCATATAAAAAGTGTTTGAGTCGTATCACTTACTGTAGAACTTCTTTCAGACTGTTTACACGAAACTGTTCCTCATTGGTTCTAAGCCAGCTAATGATCTGTACAGGAGCTATCAGGAGGATGGGAGTTATTTCCATTCCAGCTCTGGCTAATGCTGCTTTCCTTTCAAATACTAAACCTGACATACCCTACAAAAGTGAAAAGTAACTCTTAAAAAATGTCTTCAAAGTTGTATATGTTCCATTGTTATTCTTTAATTTTTTTTCCTTTTACATACTTTAAACCATTTTAGTTTACCAAATACTTTTTAACATTGAGCTCTTATTAGTAGACTTTGTGGAAAATTGATATTCAGGATTTTCTAACTTTGTTGGTGCAATCATAAAGAGATGATCCATATTAGGGAAATTTGTGAAGATTTATATTTGTGGTATTTTGCTACCAAAGGAAGTTACATTTATAATAAATTGCTCAAAGAAATAAGTTGATTTTTCAGTAACTGAACAAAAAAGAATCTGTTCCTTAAATTGATTTATTTATGTGAATTTTCATAAAAATTGAGCTAATACCTTATAGAAAAAACTTTTTAATATAATGTGAAATTACTATTCATAGTTTCATTTCTATTAAACTGAATCCATTTGAATTTAGAAAAAATGGAATTATGAAATCTTTGTACTGTATATAAATTATATATGTAATTTGATTTTGTTCAATAGATTTTTTTAACTTTAATTTTAGGAATAATCAGTGGACATTGCTTTTTTTTACTTTTACCAAATACCCATCAGATTTTCTGTACTTACAAGATGATGGTCAGCATGTAAGTGTGATATAAATATAGCTTTAAGTTTGATTAATACTTCATCTGTTTTATCTCCATATAACATTAATAGCTGACTTAAACTTCCTTCTCCACAGTCCATTAATAAATTGGTTTCTTCACTGAAAGATAAAAGATGATTTGGTATATATGTAAATATCATAAGTTATGCGGTAAAAATTAAAAACTTGTCTTCACATACCAAATTGTTGAATTGATTGGTCAACCAAAATACTCAACTTTTAATAAAAATATTTGCTTAAAAAATATTGCTAAATTGAAAATTAAATAATTATAATTAGCAGTTCCTACATCATATCAAAAGTCCTCTTGAATTGCATACAAAAAATAGTTGGGCATGGCTTCCCTACTCAGCATGCTTAGCTGGTCTCACTCAAAGAAACAAAAGGCTCCAAGTATTATGTACCACACACTTGGCTTAAAAGCTTCCCTAAAATTCAATAAAACTAATGCTTTCAAAGTATAAATAAAGGGCCAGGATGCCTAAATGCAATTTTCTGAAGGAGAACTACATCAAACAGAATCATTTTCAGCAACAATGATTAAAACTATCATAGAAAATTATTAGACATTTGGTTGAGTTTAACACCCGCCCAGAGGTCTTTTTTAGTGTCAGTAAAGCTCATGTTTAATTGTAAGTGTGGAGTATCAACCAAAACTACAAATGGGGATACAAAAATTATTACCTCCATAATTTTAAATAGCAAGTCTTCCTTTATATATTTTTTTTTAGTTACATTTACAGATATAGCTTATGGGAATTAGGTTCATCAAATATTGCAAAGTTTATAAGCTATTCACATTTTGAAGAATTTTTTAAACTGAATATTTATCTACACAATTTTGGCTATTTTTATGAATAGTGACCATTTTGGTTGTACAGCAGGATCATTGATTATTTTTTGAAACTAGATATTATAAAAAGCAGCAATTTAAATTTTGAAATTAAAAACTAAATAAATAATCATACCAGTCATCGAAAAATTCCAGTTCATTGGGTAAACTGAATCAAATACATTATATCCCCCAAAAAACTGATTTGAAATAAAAATAATTCATTTAAACATAACACATGGTTTTAATATCATGTATCCACAAGACAAACATATGATTAGACAGAAAATAACATTAATATCTATCAATTTAATAGGTCACATAAACTTATTAGCTTTTCAGATTCATTATTTTTGAAGTGTTGGAGAACCAGAAAATATATTATGTATGGCATAACATTGTCATAAAAATAATTTTCAGTGGTTACAGTGATTACATCATACAGAAAATATACAAACTGATCAAATCATGTTATAGTCTCAGTATATTACAAGATAAAACTCACTCCATATGAAGAAGAATACTTGTACAGTTTCTAAAAGCTCCTGGTACACTTGAAGCTGTTCCTAAAAACACAACTTCTGGGAAATCAGATCCTGAAAAATATAACCAAGAAATGCATTTTATAAATTAATACATATCATTCTGGAAATTACCTATTTAAATTAAAATACCTTGTTGTGATAAAAGGTGAAATGTTATGTATAAATATCCTGTCCGCTCTTCACACACTTCGCATCCCTTTGATTTTTTATTGGCCATAATAGGTAAGATGTTATATCGTATTACTAATTTCCTATATAAAAAAAGGTTCTTTTTTTGCTGTTCTTCATCTCAAAGTCACAGTGAGGCCTTCAACACAGAGCAAAAAGGAAAAAAAAACGCTCACCTCATTACAAGTTTAAGACAGCCCCTTCGTATATTTTATTTATAACCATGCCAAAAAAAATCTTCAAACTAAATACATATTTAGGAGAGGGAGCATTATTTTTCATGATAAGTTTTACATATTGTATTAACATGGCTATCTCTGGCTTCCAAGTGGTTTATTTAATGGAAAAAAATGACAAAATATTGTTATTGTGTTTTTCAAATGAAAATTTTTCAATTAAAAAAATGGATAGACATTGTTTTAAGGAACAGCAATGTTTGACAGCTCACTCGAATATCAATTCCCTCTTTTCTTATATCAATTTTTATCTTCTGTTTGTTGTTTATGCAAATGTTATAGCCAAAATAGTTTTGTTTAAACATGAAACTTCTTAAAAGGGCAAAAAAATTGTCAAAACTAACCTTTATCTTTGGTTGTGGACTGTTTGGATGAAATCACTTCTTTATAATCTGTTACGGTTTTCATAATGTTACTGTCACCAGCTATCTGGTCTCTTGTCTTGCATTCAAAATCTTCTGGTAAACAATCTTCACTAAAAGATAATTATAATGCACATTTATTATCATACAATTGTTACAACACACACACTCAAACCATATTCACATTTTCTTGAAACTGATCTGATATATTTTTATTTCAATAAGGGTACCAGTAGTTTAACTAATGTTCACTGCTGAAGCAAATCGCAAATGAAACCCAGATACATTTTATTGCGAACCCAATGAAAGTTTTCCACAGTGCCATCTCTATCTTGACCAGGTATTTAAACTTTTGCAAGTTCACCTGTCCTATTGAATAGATACAATAGCTATTGTTCTCTGTGTAGTTTATTCTCTGGGACCTTTAAATTTCTTCTAAGAGAAATCTATCATTCATTGATTAAATTACCTGAGTAAAAAAAAATTCTTATATATAGACAAAAATACTGTTTTTATACTCATTAACTGCATGTGATGATGTAGTTATTCAATATTAATAATATATTTTCATTCAGTTTAATATAAACATTGATTCAATAGATTTTCATTCAGTTTAATATAAACATTGATTCAATCATAAAAATTTGATTTCTGACAAAACTTTCAACATTGTTCCTTTTAAAAAAAAATTTGTTTGACATGAATAAGAACTTGAAAATAATGATGTTTCAAATTAAGATCTTCTTAAATGTATTCTATAACTAAACAAAAAAAAATCAAATTTCAATAGGAACATTGATAAAACTTTTGTTAGAAATCAACTTTTTAGGATTGAATCAATGTTTATATTAAACTGAATGAAAATATATTATTAATATTGAATAAATACATCAGCACACGCAATTAATGAGTATAAAAAAAGTATTTTTGTCTGTATATAAGAATTTTTTTTTACACAGGTAATTTAATCAATGAATGATAGATTTCTCTTAGAAGAAATTTAAAGGTCCCAGTGAATAAACTACACAGAGAACAATAGCTATTGTATTCATTCAATAGGACAGGTGAACTTGCAAAAGTTTAAATACCTGGTCAAGATAGAGATGGCACTGTGGAAAACTTTCATTGGGTTCGCAATAAATGTACTTTTTAAGTTCCCTGAGTTTTAGTGTTTTATATGAGCAAGTTTTATTTTGACAAGAAGACTCATGGATGCTTATATGTAGTATATACAAATACCAATGGTTATAACTTAATTATAAATATTTCAACTGACAAGGAACTATAGTTATTTTCTGGTTTCTATGCATAATACTGACTAAAATTGAGTACCATTAATTCAAAACAATGGTTATCAATAGACACATATCAACAGATTTTAAAATTATATATGCTTAAACTTATTGAATTGTAGTGTTCATTAAATTGACCTACTTTATCAGAAGACCATTTTTATCCTTTGACGTCCAATATAAAACAAGAGCGCAGAAAAGTCTCTCATCCTTTACTGATTATGATTGATTTTATGTTGAAAGTCTTTGAGATCAAGGTATCAGATAAAACTGAGTATAATCAATGATCCATTACAATGAGGTGAAGGTCTTATGAACTCTGTCAAATGGACACAGCCATATTACAAACATTCTATTCATGAAATAAAGTTGAATATGTCATATATTTATTTATAGAATCTGAGCAACACACCCAATTTTTTACCAAAAGCTAACATTGCTGGATAAGTATTCTTATGGTTTGCATTCTTGGATGTTTGTTGCAGGTGAAACAAAACTTCCAAGTAAGAAATTGGTGTTTTATTCCAATAATAAATTGAAAGTTTTGGTTAATTGCCAAAAAAAAATTCTATACTATGGTCCTAGGAATGATTTAGAATTAAGTTTGACTTGAGGTGGATCACTGGTATGTATTTCCTCAGATAGAATTTTCTATACTTTTTATTCAAAAATATGAAAAAAGTATCAGACATCATGCTATTTTTCAAGCTACAAGGGCAATTTTGCATAGAATATCATGAAAAAACATTTTTTGTGAATAAAAAGAAATCTATGAGATAGAATTTGAAATAAAATATGAGAAGATAGATTTTATAGTATGCTTTAAGAAAAGAAAAATGGGTCACCGAACTTTTTTTCTTGCTACAAATAAAAAGTAAAAATTTCATTAACATTCCTTTAAAAAAATTTTACTTTTAAAGTTATCTCCCCTTAAATGGCTAAATTGAAAAAATTGATACAATCAAAAACAAATATTTGGTATTTGTTAAAACAGTCTAAAAATTGCAATAAACAAGTTATTTTCTTTATTGAAATAAACAGTCTTACATATTAATTGTCAATCTGTCTCAAAATTTGCAGATTTAAGCAAAGAACTAAACACTTGTGTACTGCTATATTACAATCCAAGATGGCAGTATTCAGTTACTCTACCTAAAACTGGTCATTTTGTTGAACGAGAAAGGGAACCATGAAAAAACTTACACCTCTGCAAATTTCCCTTTTAGGGTGTAAAACATCTAAAAAACATGGATGAAATTTCAATTCGGACAGAATACACGCTTAGGGATGATTATAAGTCAAGTGTAGTTTCAACTGATTCAAAGGAAGAGATTTTTCAGCTGATTAATTGATATTGCCATGTATTCTCTCAAAATGTAATATATCAAATATAATTGATACTTACACTGATACAATTTTTTTTGGTCTATAAGAGTATTTCATGAAAGGTTTGGCTAATATATGATTTTCACTCTTGTAATCTTCAATCTGCTGCTTTGGCATATGTAATTGAGGAAATATTGTTGAATTGAGCATATTTAGGCTGCTTTGAAGTTCTAACACTGCAGTTAATGATAATGTACTGGTCTTCTCATGTAGAAACATATGGCGTGTTGAACTGGCAAATCTGAAATATAAAATCATTTTATGATAGTTGAAATAAGATACCATCACTGTTAACAAAATGGTATGTAGTTACCTTCTTTTGTTTAGTTATAAATGTAAGCATACAGATTGCACACAACTGCTTTCTTTATATAAAGTGAATGACATAGACACTTTATCACTTAAACAGTAATTTGAGCTCTAGATGTATTTTAGTTAAAGTTTAGTTTAAATATATATAGCTGCCTCATTGAGGTATACCCCACATCTTCCTTAATTCATACACATATAATTTAACTTTATAAGAACCAGGTAAGAGAAATACTTGTACACCTAACACCCTTTAGATATCAAACTGAATATCATATTTCAAACCAATGTATAAAATAGCTGATAAATATATCATTATTGGCCTCAACAAGTTGTCTCAATACTTTTGGCCCTGTGATGGTAGTCTATTGTCATGCAACTCATGATTATAGTATGTATTTCTTTCAAAAAGAAATAACTGGTTGTTTAAATAACTTATTGACAACTCCTGCAATGTCAATAAACTGTTTACACTGGACCTATGTAAACTCATCTCAAACTTTAACAACGATTGACACCTAAGATGCTGGGAACAACACACCTAAGTCTTGTTTCTACAACTTTTTTGAAAGGGAGACAAAAAGAACAGCTTATGTCCAACACAAGGAACAGTCTTTATCTTGTTTCCAGTGTAAGCTTTTCAGTTCAACACTAAATACCTACCAGTAACTGTCAAGATGAAGAACAGCAATACAAACAATATTCCTTTGACCTACACATACTATAAACTATATATATTGAGGATTTTTTACATACTGTGGATTTGTTTATTTTTCCTTGGTACAAATTTTTCGGGGAATGAGGAAAATCATATTTTTGGGGATATTACATGTAAATGATTTCATGGTTTTACAAAAGCCTGCATACAAGCCTATAGAAAATTTGTACTTAGTTAAACATTCAAATTTGTGGTTTACCGAAAATTGGTATCCCTTGAATAATAATGAATCAATAGCAGTCATATGTTTTGTCATTTGATATACACTTAGTTACCTCTGTATAAACTGTTGATACTGTGGATTATTAACAATGTCATATGATGACATGTGTACAATTAATTCAGCTGAGTTGTCGTTGTCACCTTGACATTCAGATAACTTCTCAGATCTTAATAAACTGTACAAATAGTCTTCATTTGGACATTCTACAACTGCAAAGAAATATACAGAATGTTTATATGCTTCAAATGTATTCAAATGCTGTAAACAAACTTATTTTTTTTTTCTCATTAAGCACTAAATAGTTGACTTCGCAACCAGTTTCTTTAGCTTTTCTTAAGGTAGATTCATGGTATACTGCCATCTTGGATTGTACAATCCCAGTACAAAATCGGTCTAGTTATTTGCCTAAATCTGCAAATTTGGAGACAGATTTACAATTTATTGGTTAGACTGTTTATTTATGTAAATAAAAATTGGTGATTTATTGTATAACTCAAAATATTTAAACAAATATCAAATATTGTGTTTTTAGAATCAATTTTTTCAAATAACCCATTTCAGGGAAGATAACTCTTTTAGTAAAAAATATATACTGGACTGATAGGGAAATTTTTAATTTTTACTTGTAGCAAGAAAACAAGTTCGGTGACACCATTTTTTCTTTTTATTTTCTTAAAACATATTATAAAACCTATCTTCTCACAATTTATTTCAAAATTCTATCTCATAGATTTTTTTTTATGCACACAAATGTGTTTTTTCATGAACAATCTAACCAAATTTAGGCAATTTTCAACGACTCATAGCTTGGAAAATAGCACGGTGACCCATACTTTTTATTATATTTGAAAAAAGCATAGTAAAATCTTCATTTTGGCAAAGTATAAGAAAATTCTATCTCAAGAAATATATACCTATGATCTACCTTAAATTGATAAAGTATTCATATTAGAAAAGATCCAAGTTTGACAAATATTTGTTTACTGGTGACACTCATGCATCTCCAGAAAACTCAATGCTCAATCATCAATTCGCCAATTGAAGTTTGCAAATATTCAAATATTATACTATTATACTCACCTACAATAGGTTTTGGGTTTTCCTTGGGCATTAACACTTGGTCAGGATGAATCTGAAAAGATTTATTAATCCATTATCTAATTTTCATTTATCCTCTCTATTGGACTTATTCATAAAATAATACAGTTACATGTGAGTTTTATGCAGTCATGGAAATTTTTATTTGTTACAAAAAAGAAGGTATAAACTGTAATTAATATTATTTGTCATACAATCAGTATATAATCATAAGTAATAACTTCCTGCCAAGCTCATCTGAGATGGTTTTGGTTGTTTAAAGTCTTACACAGTAGCTTAATGCTCTTCAGTTGGACTAGAAGAAACTGGTTTCTAACACAGATAGAATGTGGTAAAAGAACTGAGAAAAATACACGGTAAAATTCAGCATAATAAATAAACTGCTTCGCTGAGCGCAGCTTGATACGCCCGCAGAGGTCCAACCCTGAACAGTTGGGGCAAAAATGGACACAATATTCAAGCTTGATACAGTTCTGAATTTGGATTGTAATTAAATATTTGACATATTATAGGTTTCTGAATAAATCTAGTCAAAGAACTTGAAATTGGTTATATGAATTGAATTTATATTCAATTAAAGATTTCTTGCTGTTGTGTAATACACTGTGCTGTTGCGCAATACTTAGTAAATCTGTTTTCAGACTATACACAAATAAAGTTCAATTAATTCTCAATGTCATATTAGAAATTTATGAAAATCAAAAGGGAACTTACATCAATAGATATAAACAATTTACCAAAGTTTCATGAGAATTGCTGACAGCATTTTTGAGTTATTGTCTGAAAACTGGAAAATCCCCCCTTTTTTAATGAATAAAACCCTATAACTCAGAAATGTAAAATGTAAAATTTATAAAATTCTAAACGGAGCTTACATCAATAGATATAAACAATTCACCAAAGTTTCATAAGAACTGCTGAAAGCATTTTTGAGTTTTTGTCCAGAACTGGAAAATCCCCCTTTTTTCTGAATAAAACCCTGTAACTCGGAAACGTAAAATCTAAAATTTATAAAAATCGAAAGGGAGTTCATGTCAATAGATATAAACAATTCACCACAATTTCTTGCAAGTTAGTGAAAGCATTCTTGAGTTATTGTCCGAAAACTGGAAAATCCCCCTTTTTTTAATGAATAAAACCCCATAACTCAGAAACGTAAATTCTAAAATTTATAAAAAACGAAAGGGAGCTGACGTCAATAGATATAAACAATTCACCAAAGTTTTATGCAAATTGGTTAAAGCGTTTTTGAGTAAATGTCCGACATGTTGACGACGGAAGGACAGAGGGACAGACGGACGGACGGACAGACAGACGGACAACGGTATACCATAATATGTCCCGTAAACGGGCGTATAAAAAAAACAAGAATTCATGACTTTGAATTAAACCCCTATTGAAATTAGTCAAGAAACGAGCAATTTATACAAAGTATTAGAAAAGTATTGTTTTTGGCCCCTTTTTCCTAAACAGTTAGGATCATAACCTCCAAAATCAATCAAAACAGGTCCCAGAATCAAAAATCTAAATTCCCGGTTAAATTCAGAATATCAAAGATCCCACAGAATTCGATTTTTTTTTAAATCAAACAAAGTTTAATTTTGGACCCTTTGGACCTTGATGTGAACTAATTTGAAAACTGGCCCCACAATTAAATATCTGAATACACGGTTTGATTTGGCATATCAAAGAAACCCCATAGTTTAATTTTTGATGAAATCAAACAAAGTTTAATTCAGCATATTTAAGAACCCCAACAATTCAAGACTTTGAATTAAACCACATTAAAATTGGTCCAGAAATAAGCAATTTATACAAAGTATTAGAAATTATTGTTTTTCGCCCTTTTTTCCCAAACAGTTAGGGCCATAACCCGCAAAATCAATCCCAACCTTTCTTTTTTGTATGAAACTTTGTGGTACAATTTCATAGAGATCCATAGACTTATACACAAGTTATTGTCCTGAAACAAGAAAATTGCTTGTTATTGGACCCTAATTCCTTTACAGTTTGGACAATAACCCCCAACATCAATCTCAACCTTCATTTTGTGGTATGGAACCGTGTGGTACAATTTTAAAAAGAGATCCTTATATTTATTCTCAAGTTATAGTCTGGAAACCTAATGTCTTCGGATGACGACGACACTGACATCGCCATAACATTATAGACTACAAAAATTTTGTGGTCGTACAAAAATTGGTTTATATTGCTACAAGACTGGTGGTCTGTAAAGGCAAATGTTAATTACTTAGTATGTAAAATACCTTTAACATAGTACATGTACTTTATTACAATAATTACTGTAAGTGCTCACAATTTCACTATATCTTATTAATTTGATTGGCATGATGACAAATGATTGATTTAAGAATCAATTTATTATATAACAAAGAACAAAAACCAAGACAAAACATGCCTCTATAATAAAGCTTTTGATGCTCAAGGCACACACTACTACAAAAACAGGGAAAAGTTACTTCTTGTTGGGAATATTACAGGGAGGAGTTGTGAGACTTAAGTAATTGTAAAGTAATAGAAACAATTTAATTATGATGAAATACCTATCAGATTACATTGTTAACAAAATTAAAAACAATAAAATGTCTATTGCTAGATTATTGAAGATCTTACCACTGTTTCATCAGGTAGGGTCACACTTTCTTCATTTTTTAACTTCCCAATCAGAGGACCACTAAAAAATAAATCAAGGATAAACAAACTGAAACAAGTGAATCAGTGAGCTACTGCTCACTAATGATACCCCCACCCCGCTAAAAGTATAAGGTAAATAGGAAGTTGTTGAGTGATGAATCTGAAAACGCATCACACGGTATAGCTGACTCATATAAACCCTGAAACCAAATTTCAGAAATCCTTGTAATGGATTGACTGACAGATAGACTGATTGATGGACTGACAGATGGACTGATGGATGGACAGACGGACAGACAGAGGTAAAACAGTATACCACCACTTTTTTAAAGTGGGGGTATAATAATTAATGTACATTTTACACATACAATACAGCTGGGTAGTAAGATGAATTTCTTATAGCACATCATTTTCTCATATATTCTTTTCTTAAAATAATGTATAAGACAAGCATCAAATGGATATATGAGCATATTATTATATAAACAATCTCTATATCAAAATAGTTGACAAATAATATAATTTGAAAAACATGTTCCATTCCCACCATTTGCTGCTTATAAAATAATGAGTAGCATATTATATTTGTAAAGTGTCTTCTATATGTTATGAAACCGGAGTATCAACAACATTTTTGTCCAATTTTCTTTATATTCAAAACATACATTCTTAAGTAGAGTTAACATAAAATTCCTTTTGATATTATGGAAACTTTTAGTATATTTTGTAGTTCTGTGTGAAATATCTATAAATCTACTTACGGTTTTAATCCTAAACTTGCACATTTGCTCAAATCAACACTTCTTGGACGTGGATGTGGCTGAAATATAGAAAAAATATTAAATCCTCATAGTAAAGCTTTATTATTTTTTTTTTTATTTCAGAACACACTATAGGAAACCAGTATATAAAATTTATATACTGGTTTCCTATAGTGTGTTCTGAAATAAAAAAAAAATAATAAAGCTTTACAGTGAGGATTTAATTTTTTGCAAAAATATGGAGATAATAACCTAAAATATAAAGAAGTGATTGATGCAATGTGATGCCATTGCAAGAACTTTATCACAAATCATTCATATTGAAAAACAAAATTTCTAGAATTTTTGAATATTTCGGATCCTTAGACAGTAAGAGCTTCCATCTAGAAAACAAATGTCAACATAAAATTTGGAAACAATGCTTTAAATGCTATTTTTGTAAAGTTCAAAATTTCCACTATACATACATTGAACAACATAATTGACTTTGTGTTTAACTTACTTTATTTAATTTGTAATTTTGTAGCATGTAATTGACAGTAATCGAAAAGTAATGTAATTACTTTTGCTACAGTAATGGATTGCAATCGATTACATACAAAAATCAGAGTAATCGATTATTAATCGATTACACAAAAATCCTTCAAGTAATCGATTATTAATCGATTACATTTGTCAGTAATCGTGCCCATCCCTGATATAAATATTACTTTCAATTCTTCAGTTAGGCAAAACCCCAGAAAAAACAATCAAGAAGCCTCTGTCAATTCAAAGAAACTAAACTTCGGAAATGTCAAAATCATATTCCATTCTTTTCATTTGCACGAGTAAACAATGTTGTTGAAGTAAAAATTAGTGTATTTGATGAGGGAAGACATTCTTAAACAAAAAAAGAATCGAAGGAAACACCTACAGAAATGTGTTCAGATTTCAAAAAGATGTAATGAATTTAACTTGGGTTACCATGAAATGTTCTAATTTAAAACTTGACAAATTTTCAATGAATTTGATTGTTTTTGGTAGTACAAAGGCAAGGTCATTTACAATTGTGTCTTTTTTTTAGTTTTAAGTGACTTTTGGTTTGTTGAACCAAATGTTTTTTTAATTTTTTTAATAGAACAGTAATATATACTTAAGATATCTATAGACATTCTCTGGTAGGTTATTTATGTACTATATTAGTGAAATTTTTGACTAGCTACTGAACAAACACCATAATTATGTGACGTATTGAATTCAAAGTAAGATTAATTCGAATGGTTTACAGATTAAGACGGATATGTTCCAATTGTCACAACCACTATCCCCTCCTCTCTTCCTTGAATGTGACCTACCAAATTAGACTTATTACCAAATTTGTTCTTACATGAGCAATGCGACGGGTGCCACATGTGGAGCAGATTCTGTTTACCCTTCCAAGGCACCCAAGATCACCCCTGATTTTTGGTGGGGTTTGTATAGCTCAGTCTTTAGTTTTCTATGCTGTTGTGTACTAATGTTTGTCTTTTTTATCATGGCATTGTCAGTTTGTTATGATATATGTATGTTGAGTAATGTTGCTTCACTTGCTAAGACTTCTCAAGTAAGACATTTTTAATGGCTGTCTTAAAATAAATATGAAAATAAAACAAACAACTATCACTATTCACTATTCACTATAATACCTTAATAATGTATGCATAAGTACAATCTGGATCTGTTAAAGGCGTATACACTGATAATTTCTTCTTTTTTGTTGGTGGACTAGATGGTTCTGAAATTATTCAACATTTTAGCTACTTTAGTAAATTCAAATATGCCTTTTGACCTCAAATGAAGCAATTCAATTACTATTTACTGGCCTGTTTGAAAACTAAGATGTTTATGTTTATAATGTAAAGGATTGGTAGGACAACTAAAATATATTCAAATTTTTCCTTTCAATGCTGTCAAGTTGTATTTATAATCTGATTTTGGTAATCATGTGAGTTGGGTTGCTCTCTCGTTGAAGGTTATTTTTAATCTCCTATATTCATGTTGATCTTACTGGTTGTCATTAGATCTTTTCTCATATAAAGCATTATTATGGTTTTCTGCAAAGTTATGGTTTTTGGGTCCATATAGTCTAAATATAATATACCCAGTATGTAGTTAAGAATTAAGGTTGTATTCTCCTTCAGATTTTACATTTTCATACAAATAATCTAGAGGCTCCAGACTCCAAAGTGTCTGTATGGTTATTAAAACACAGAATATCTGCATATTACATGTAATGTTTACTAAATCTGTAAAACAGTTAACATATTGTAATACTGTTAACTAAGAAATTAATGCAATGTTTTTATTACAGTGACAGTACCGGTATCATGTTCGCAATAATAAAAATTTGCATTCATAATTTCAGGAATGATTTTCCTTCATAAAATTTTTGCAATCGCATTAATTAGATTTGAATTTTTGTTTTTGTAAGATATCAGGGATTCGCAACAATAAATAAATAAATTTGGTGTATGTACTGTCTTCTGATTCGTTAAAAATATTACCTTTATTTTCAATGTTGTCAATTTTTATGGCGACACGCCCACTCTGACGTTGTGTATTCATACGCCAACTGTGTGTACGTTGTTATTGTTAATATAAATAATATAAAAAGCTCTTTGAGCCTTATTTTGATAGAAATTTATTTATAATGAATGACAATAATTTATTTTGAATTTATTGAACCATAAAATTAATTTTTGACTCTTCACATTTTACATAATCCGCTTCGCGGATTATTCAATGTGAAGAGTCAAAAATTAATTTTATGCTTCGCGGATTATTCAATGTGAAGAGTCAAAAATTAATTTTATGGTTCAATAAATTCAAAATAAATAATAGTCATTCATTAAATGCACTCATTAATTTCTGATTTTAAAGTATACAAAACTATGTTCATAATGGTAGCAATCTTAAAATAAGTAAAATTTCACAAAAGACTTATATCATTACAGTTCTCTTCATTACTCAGTGCTCTTTATTACCAACCTGTAGACAATTTTGATGCTCCCTCTGATGTTATTGAACTATCTTGACAGACTATATTTGAGTTGGTATTTTCATCCGAGTTATTTGAGGTAGATATATTTTTGGAAGGATTATGAAATTGTTCTTTCTCCACAGGTAATAAAGGAACATATGTAATGTTGACATTGTCATCACTATAGGTTGTCATCCATGGCTGTTGCCTTCCTGTTATAAAAATAATTATAATTTAATTCAATATATTTATAAGAAAAAGCAACATCATATAAAGTACAGAGGCAACATAATCTTCTTGTATACTGTGGATTCATTTATTTTAGTGGGTAACCATGAACTTGTTTTCAAGTTAAATCAGTTGAATAAATAAACTGTCAACACAGAGATATGTCTTGCCTATTTGTTATTTTGGTAATGCAAATGTTGAAATTGAAATAGCAATACTTCAACATGTAAGTTATGCAAATATTCAAAGTCACTGAACCATGACTGAAGGTACAGGGCTAAACAATCTCCATGGAAATGAGATGTGCCAATGCTAATACAACTGCATACCAAATACCATGGACTTTTCATAAGTCGTTCCCTTTAAACAAACCTAAACACAAACATTAACTTGTAAACTATGTAAAAGTTTCAAAGTCAATGAACCATAATGAGGGGATGGGGTTATATAATCTCCATGGAAATGAAACTTGCAAATGCAATTACATTTGCATACCAAATACCATTGACTTAACATTAGTTGTTCATCTTAAACTGACTAATCACAAACTAATACATGTAAACTAAGCAAAAGTTTCAAAGTCAATAGACCATTACTGAGGGGTAAGGACCAAATATTCTCCATGGAAATGAGATGTGCTACTGCTTATTCAACTGCATACCAATCATCATTGTCCTACCACTAACGGTTCCCCTTAAACTGACCTAATCACAAACTAATACATGTAAACTAAGCAAAAATTTCAAAGTCAATAGACCATGACTGAGGGGGCGGAGCCAAATAATCTCCTTGGAAATGAAATATGCCAATGCTTATACAACTGCATACCAAATATCATTGACCTACCACTAGTGGTTCACCATAAACTAGACCTAATCACAAACTAATACATTGTTGACGCCGCATTTTATGTTAGCCACGTCATTACCTCCCCTGTAACTGTATCGTATGCCCTTAAACCAATCATAACATCACTAATTTACCAGAGGTGAGATAAAAGCCTGTAAACAATTTGTATTTTGTTGAACATTTCCAACAAATGTAAATGAATCTACAGTAAATATGAAACATTTTATACTTTGATAAAGGCAATGTTTTTCTTTTTTCCATTACCTATAATTTATTAAACTTCTGTTTGTTCATCCTAATTTATGGACCTGATCTGATAATAAATTTCTTAACCAGAACAGAATGCAAAAATAAGTGCACAACAGACATTTTAGATCATAAAGCAAGCCATAAAATTTAGGTTTCCCAAACATCTCATTGAAGGGATAATCTGAAATGTTTCATAAATAGCTATTTCGAATCTCCTTCCTGTCCTTATCTTTCATAAAGTATCTAACAGTAAATAAATGTAAACTATTTACCAATTATTATTCTGCAACTTTCTGCAAAAAATATAGCATCCCTTGTCACAGTTTCCTACAAAGTAAGATAACGATGATTCTTAATACATTGTTTCATACAAATGTATGTTTTATTAATTGTACAAATATATATTATATATCAACTTTGAGCTTGCCTTCAGAAAGGGAAACATAGAGTAAAAATTCAACTTTGCTAGATCTTAATGTGCCTGTCCTCAGTCCAAAGCCAGACCAGCCCCTGACAATGTTTTTTTGTGTCCATTCACAACTACTTGAGATTTGCAGTGAAGTAGAGCTTACACCATTGGCACAAATTCGAGCTTACACAATTTCAGTGAATTAGAGCTTATACAATTATTGTATGGAGAATTTTCAATTATGACTCAAATGGCCTCCACTTGATGGATTAAATTTGTTTGCAGTCTCATTGACCTTTTTACACCATACCACTTTTCATCAACACACGAAATACAAATTTTCAAGTCTAAATATGCAAAATATGTTATATTGTGTATATTATCATCTCTGTAACCATGGTAACTATGTAATTTAGTTAATGAGAATAAAGATCTATCTATCTATCTTGAATTTCAAAATACTGATCAATGTTTCTTTTTCTTATATCGGATTCATCAAGTATTTTTTTATGCTGTCTCATGTAAGCATCTACTCCTCAATGTTATATTTTTCAGTAATCTTTGTCATATATACAAGTTGTTAGTACATACTATTCCTGTAGGACCATGCAATGTTACTTTTGGGACACCTGCTGCCTCTAAAGATAATGCCATACCTGTAAAAAAAAAAAAAATAAACTTATATATAACTGTTGCCCATTGTTGAAGGCTGTACAGTGACATATAGTTAACTTATTTGGTCTTTGGTGGAGTGTTATCTCATTAGAAATCATACCACATATATATTATATATTTGTAGCATGATGCTCATATTTAAAGCTGTGCAGTTATCAAAATTGTTTTGTGATTTTTTGCCTTCAAGAGTTTTGAAGATTTAAGCATTACAGAACAAAGTTTACGGCTTCATAAATATCATAACTTTTCTAGTCTGAAACACACTTTAGTAAACACTTTGAGGTTGAATAAAAAAAATTAAGTAAAATCCAACTTACCATGTAATCCTCCAATGTTGTCCCAAGATTTGTGTGTGATGAAAATGTTTTCTGTTTTAGAAAATTTATCAAGTCTGAAATAGTTAATTGAAAAATATTAACAGTATTCAATTGATTCATATATATTATACTTTCTGTTCCAGTTGTATTTTATAGTTACAGTTTCTATCAAAATAGAATAATTCATCAAATATAATGTTTTAGCCAACTAGAATGGATTTATATTTTAATTCAAGGTATCCAAACTATTTTGTAGTTGATACTAACAAGAGTATGCTAAATACAGAATATCATCACAAGATGATAAAATTTGACATTATTAAACTGTGATTAGCTAATAAGATACATTTTTTGAATTTTGAATAATAAAGCCAACTGAATTAACCATATTATGAAATATTTTTTGTACCTCAGTCACGGTACATTGTATATATAAGAGTGTGAAGAATATAGATCAATATCTATGTTAGGTTCCTGTTTCAATGCATGTACCCACACATCTTTTTTTATTCATATACAGTGGAGATAAGTGGACATAACCATGCTGTTGCAGAGTACAAATAAATGAAATAAAAGCCAGAAGCAGAAGATGCATAACAATTAACAAGTAAATCCTTGCCACAGCAAGACATTTTTTTCTTACAAACGATAAATGACAAAAGACAACATGATTTAAGTCCACTGACCATAAAATATATTTTGTTTACTCATAAAACAAAATTTCCATCTGAATGTATTTTATACTTTACCTGCTACTACAGCTTATTCTATATGTGTTCTCACCACAGTTAAACAGGTAACTGAAAATAAAATAACAAACAGACACATTATAACAGCTGCAAAACATATAAACTCTTTAAATGGTGTGGGGGGGGGGGGGAGGATTGTTCACTTTAGCAATTTCTTTGGGGATTATAAAGGACCTTTACAAGTTGTTATATTACTTAAGATTTCATAGTGTATGAAATTTATTATTAATTCTCCTTACTTAGTTTCTGCTTATGGAATCTACATTTCTTATACTAGTTGGTTAACAATGTTCTTATGTAACATGTCTAAATAATCAATTACAAGAAGAATAAATAATAAAATGCTTCGCTGGGCGCAGCTTGATACGACCGCAGAGGTCGAACCCTGAACAGTTGGGGCAAGTATGGACACAACATTCAAGCTTGATACAGCTCTGAATTTGGATTGTGATTAAATATTTGACACAGCATAGGTTTCTGACACAGAAAGAATGTGGTCTAAGAACTTCAATTTTTTTAATTTACCTATTATGGTCCAATGTCCAAAATCAAAATACATGGCTAGATTCAGCATATCAAAGAACCCCATATATTCAATTTTTGTTGAAATCAAACAAAGTTTAATTTTGGACCCTAACTTGGACAAACTTGAAAACTGGTCCCATAATCAAAAATCTAAACACATGTTTAGATTCAGCATATCAAAGTATCCCAAGAATTCAATTTTTGTTAAAATCAAACTAAGTTTAATTTTGGACCCTTTGGACCTTAATGTAGACCAATTTAAAAAACGGGACCCAAAATTAAAAATCTAAAAACACGGTTAGATTTGGCATATCAAAGAACCTCAATAATTCAATTTTTGATGAAATCAAACAAAGTTTAATTTTGGACCCTTTTGACCTCAATATGAACCAATTTGATAGCGGGCCCACAAAATAAAAAATCTAAATACATGGTAAGATTCAGCATATCAAAGAACCCCATATATTCAATTTTTGTTGAAATCAAACAAAGTTTAATTTTGGACCCCAATTTGGACCAACTTGAAAACTGGGCCAAAAATCTAAAATCTAAATACATGTTTAGATTCAGCATATCAAAGAACCCCATATATTCAATTTTTGTTGAAATCAAACAAAGTTTAATTTTGGACCCCAACTTGGACCAACTTGAAAACTGGGCCCATAATCAAAAATCTAAACACATGTTTAGATTCAGCATATCAAAGAACCCACAGAATTCAATTTTTGTTAAAATCAAACTAAGTTTAATTTTGGACCCTTTGGACCTTAATGTAGACCAATTTAAAAACGGGACCCAAAATTAAAAATCTAAATACACGGTTAGATTTGGCATATCAAAGAACCCCAATAATTCAATTTTTGATGAAATCAAACAAAGTTTAATTTTGGACCCTTTTGACCTCAATATGAACCAATTTGATAGCTGGTCCACAAATAAAAAATCTAAATACATGGTTAGATTCAGCATATCAAAGAACCCCAAGAATTCAATTTTTGATGAAATCAAACAAAGTTTAATTTTGGACCCTTTTGACCTCAATGTGGACAAAGTTGATAACGGGGCCCAAAAATCAAAAATCTAAATACATGGTTAGATTCAGCATATCAAAGAACCCCATATATTCAATTTTTGTTGAAATCAAACAAAGTTTAATTTTGGACCCCGATTTGGACCAACTTGAAAACTGGGCCCATAATCAAAAATCTAAATACATGTTTAGATTCAGCATATCAAAGAACCCTAAAAATTCAATTTTTGTTAAAATCAAACTAAGTTTAATTTTGGACCCTTTTGACCTTAATGTAGACCAATTTGAAAACGGAACCAAAAATTAAGAATCTAAATACAAGGTTAGATTCGGCATATCAAAGAACCCCAATAATTCAATTTTTGATGAAATCAAACAAAGTTAAATTTTGGACCCTTTGGACCTCAATGTGGACCAATTTAAAAACGGGGCCCAAAATCCAAAAACTTAATACACGGTTAGATTCAGCATATTAAAGAACCCCAAGAATTCAAGAATAAAACCCCATTGAAATTGATCAAGAAATAAGCAATTTATACGAAGTATCTTCTTTTGCACAATACTGTGCAATTGAATATTTCTTGCTATTGTGCAATACTGTACAATTGACAATTTCTTGCTATTGCGCAATATTGTGCTATTGGATATTTCTTGCTATTGCGCAATACTGTGCAATTGAAGATTTCTTGCTATTGCGCAATAATGTGCAATTGAAGATTTCTTGCAATTGTGCAATACTGTGCAATTGAAAATTTCTTGCTATTGCACAATACTTATTATATAATAATTTACACATCCTGTTTGGTGTGTATCTCCTACCATATCATTATTATTTGCTTTTAAATATTAATCAGAAATAACCAACTTAAAATGGAAAATTTTAAAAGAAAAAAAAAAGGAAAAAAAGAAAAAAAAAGAACCCCCCCCCCCCCCCCCAAATTTTTTGAACCCCCTTATGATTCATCACCCCCAAACTCAATCCCAGCCTTCCCTTTGTGGTATGGTACCTTGCAGTACAATTTCAGAGAGATCCATACACTTGAACACAAGTTATTGTCTGGAAACTAGAAAAATGCTTAATTTTGGCCCCTTTTTGTCCCCCAATTCCTAAACGTTTCGGGCAATTACCCCCAAACTCAATTCCAGCTTTCCCTTTGTGATATGGAACCTTGTAGTACAATTTCATAAATATCCAAACACTTACACACAAGTTATTGTCATGAAACTAGAAAAATGCTTGTTTTTTGCCCCTTTTTTGGCCCCTAATTCCTAAAATTTTGAGGCAATTACCCCCAAAATCAATTACAGCCTTCCCTTTGTGATATGGAACCTTGTGGTACAATGTCAGAGAGATCCATACACTTACACACAAGTTATTGTCTGGAAGTTACAAAAATGCTTATTTTTGGCCCCTTTTTGGCCCCTAATTCCTTAACTGTTGGTACCATAACCCCCAAAATCAATCCCAACCTTCCTTTCGTGGTATTGAACCTTATGGTAAAATTTCATGGAGATCCATTCACTTTAACTAAAGTTAGAGTGCGAAAACCAATGTGTCTTCGGACGACGCCGGATGACGAAGACGACGACGACGACGACGACGCCAACGTCATACCAATATACGACCAAAAAATTTTTCAATTTTTGCGGTCGTATAAAAATGAAGAAATCACAAATTCGATAAAACTCAAAGTAATTTCATAAAAACATTGTTTATCTTTTGTACGCATACCCCTTAACCCTTTTTTCGGAAGCCTGAGCAAAAGCCCTTGATCTGCAATAGAAAATTTAAATACGAACTCATGTATTAGATCACTCTAATTTCAACTGGAAATCTTAATCTAAATGAGACTCAAATTCGAAGTCTTACTCGAACTCTACCTCAAAAGGTAACTCAAACTCGAAGTTCAACTCGAAAACTAACTCAAGTTTAATTCGAAACAGTAACCCGAACTTTAATTTGAACTCTTAACTCGATGGATTGCCACACTCATCCAGGGTAAATAAAAAAAAGAATTCGGTTTTAAAAATAGAACTAGTTTTTCCCAAATAGTCACAAAGTTTTACCTCATCAAGTAATGTGATAACCACATCAAAGAATGACAGAACCACATCAAATACTGATACGAACACATCATGTACTGTAAAATCATCAAATTTTGAAACATCATTATGTAATTTTAAAGCCATATAAGGAATTGGAAAATCATCATTACGAAATAACAAAACAACATCATGTAATGAAACAACTACATTACGTTAAGCCACATACACATCAAGCATGTCAAGTAATGTTAAAACCACATTGCCTAATAACACAACCACATTAAATAATGATGAAACTACATCGAATAATGACAAAACCATATCCAGTCCATACGAAACCATATCATGTAATACCGAAATATCATTAAGTAATGACTATTCCATACTGAGTAAAATCAAAACATCAGTACATAATGCCAAATCCATATTATGTAAAGACAAAATATCATCAAGTATTAATACTAAGGGGACGAAGTCCCTTATAACAGTAGAAAAATCAATAAAAAAAAAAATTAAAAAATAATTTCCAGTTGTACTAATGAACTCAAAATCGTTAACTTTTTTTTTCTAACTTTTTTATTTTCCTGCATTTGCGCAGAAATCTCTTTCTTTCTTCCAGTCTCATTTGTCGTGAGACTTTGGGTATAATATATTTTTCAGTCAAATATATAGGAATGAGCACAATAACAATTTCATTTTAATTATTCTCTGATATGAAAAAAAAACGTTACCTGATGATAGCGTCTCTTTGTTTACCTTGAAAACGATGTAATGACTAAAATGACGTCACATCTAAAATCCCTAACAACAGAACCAACATCGGTAACGTAACAGTATTTCCGTTTCTTTTTGAACATTAAAATATGTTAGAATTAAATAAAAAGTAATTGATTCGGACTTCGTCCCCTATCACAGGTAACGCATGCCTCATATTACAACATAACGTAATATCAGAGTACCACTTAAGACAGCTATGGCTTTCCATAGCATTTGAAGCTTGACAACAAAGACCATTCACATTCTCATATACATTTGTACACATACACACCTTTCATTTGTTGTATTCAGGAGTACAGATTTAGGAGTACCACGACCGCCACTGGATATGACACGAAGATCAATGGTTCCTGGAGGTGGAAGGCTGTCTTTTTTATCCTTGTACTTAACTCTTCGTACCAGGTCAACTCCGTTAACTTCTTGTCGAAATGTTTTCTTAGATTCAGCAGTTTTATCCATATTTCTGTGGCTTCTATGTTTAATGTCTTTTACTCGTTCTTTTATTTCGAGTCTAAAATTTTCAGATATATATGTCTTGCTTTTCGATGACACTTTAAAAGCTTTTAGTCTGAAAAGAATTTCCAGCAAACTATTATGTGTCAGAGCTTTTCTGTAGAACATCTGACGAAACTGCATGAAAAATAAAAACACGCCAATTTGTGTACAAATTTATTTATTTTCTTTGAGAAGACTCTTTACAAAGGGAGGTAACAAAGCTGTATTTTAAAAGTTTTGCGAGGGAAAATATAAGTGTACGACCATGCATTCCTGAGAACCAGCACTGGTTGATAGACAATTCTTATAACATTTTGATTCTATAGATGTTAATATGAGGCAGGCGTTACCTGTGAAAGGGGACGAAGTCTGTATGAATTATTATTTTTTAATTCAAACACAGGGGCGGATCCAGGATTTTGGAAAGGGGGGGCGTAGTATTAAAGTTCGCCGAGCGGAGCGAGGCGAAAAAAATTTTGGACCTTTTTTTGGCTAAAAAACATAAAATAAGTGTAAAATGCATTTTATAGTTAAAGTGTAGGGGTTGGACATTTTTGGTGTCGTATTCTCTCCATTAATTGTCTATTATAAAATGATTGGATAGATCCAAAGCTATGTACTAATTAATATTTTTTGATGTGGGATTTGTCAGTAAAAAATGGACATGGAAAATTCTCGTTTGTTGTATGGTTAGTTAGCATAACCTCACAGATTTCTTGTTGTAAACAAGATATACGGCTATTCAATGAAATTTACAATACGACCGACACGAAGGAAGAGAAACAAGCAATTTTTATCCAAATGTTTGGTTGAAATGTTTCAACCAACAAGGGAAGTGAGGGGTTCCAAATCAACCAAAGGCTACGAATGAGTCGGAAATGACAATGAAGTTGTGAATGACGGTCGACACATGGAGACATATAGGCCACACCCAGCAGGCAGGTTGCAGTCGGGCCTTGAAAAAAGTATTCAGTATATTAGTTCGGCGAAACAGACATTCCGGTCAGATATGGGATTCACATGAAACCCCCCCCCCCCCCAAAAAAAAAAAATTACGCCCGTTTTTTATTCATCATGTTCATTTAATGCTTAATAATTTTGTTGAAAATATTTTTTTCTAATAGCAAAAAAGTGGACAAGATTATTGTTTTCAATCCAGATACGGCCAGAATTTTTGTTTAAGGCAAAAATCAGGGTCAGAATTTTTTCTCTAAAATATCTCAGACTACCCCCTCAAATCAAATGGTCCGTACCTTAGACTTTAAATCTATATCTAGAGCTTACTGACTGGGGATCACTATTCAGCAATGTTATTAATGGGTTGGGGCGTGTTGGGTTAATCATGTTTTCGTAGGTAAATAATATTGCTGTGGAAATTTTTTTTTCATGAGAGTGTTATAGAGTATTACTTTCTGTTGGGTGGAATTGTGAAATAGAAGTCAATACGTTCTTGCTCAATACTTTGTCGCTTTGAAGGCGTCATGCTTGTCATCATCAGCCTAAGCAACGTGTTACTGTAAAACTAATTTGAATTTCAAAATGACTGAATGACGTTTTTTCCGACGTACTGGTCAACTCCACCGTAGCGAATCACATGACTTTGACATAATCAATAATATATTACAGTAAATACGAGCGAAAAATATCTTTATAAGTAAAGAATTGTCGCATAAAAATTAAATACACGGGAAATGGCAAAGTTCGAGAAGTCTAGTCTGATTAATCATTTTACAAAAAAAAAAAAGTGCAAGCAAAGGGGGGGGCGTACGCCCTCTACGCCCCCCTCTGGATCCGCCACTGAAACATATGTTTAAACTTCAAAATCTGTTCAAAAAGAACGGAAATACCCTTACGTTTCCGATTTCGGTTCTGTTGTTCGGAATTTTAGTTGTGACGTTATTTATATTATGACGTCATATTCAATGTAAACAAAGAAACGCTATCAGGTAACGTTTTTTCATATCAAGCCATTCAAGGAATTATTAAAAATGGAATTGGTATTGCGTTCCTTCCTATATTTTACTAGAATGATAAATATATATTTTACTCAAAGACTCGTGCAAACGAGACCGGAAAAAGGAAGTAGATTTCTGCGCAAATGCGGGAAAATAAAAAAGTCTGAAAATAAAAAAGTTAACGATTTTGAGTTCATTAGTACAATGAAAATTTCGGGAAATTTTCCCGATTTTTTTTTTTTATTGATTTTTCTACCGTAATAGGGGACTTCGTCCCCTTAATATGAGGCAGGCATTACCTGTGAAAGGGGACGAAGTCTGTATGAATTATTTTTTTAAATTCAAACATATGTTAAAAAAGAAACGGAAATACCGTAACGTTTCCGGTTTTGGTTCTGTTGTTAGGTGATTTTAGTTGTGACGTTTTTTAAGTTATGACGTCATATTCAATGTAAACAAAGAAACGCTATCATCAGGTAACGTTTTTTCATATCAAATAATTGTTAAAAATGAAATTTGTATTGTGTTCCTTCCTATATTTTACCAGACTGATAAATATACATTTTACTCAAAGTATCATGACAAACGAGACCGGAAGAAGGAAGTAGATTTCTGCGCAGATGCGGGGAAATAAAAAAAGTCTGAAAAAAAAAAAGTTAACGATTTTGAGTTCATTAGTACAATGAAAATTTCGGGAAATTTTCCCGGATTTTTTTTTTTTTTTTTTTTTTTTTATTGATTTTTCTACCGTAATTGGGGACTTCGTCCCCATATAAAGATTAAGAAAGTGTGTTGCCCGGTATTTCTATTTTCTACGAGAAGCAGTGGCGGTCATATTTGATGATCTTTGATGGCACGGTTCAGACACAGGCACTTGTCTGAAAAAAAAATCAAGGTATACCGTGACATATGAATTGTTTTTCAGAGACAAGTTCCTGTGAGTTCGGGTTATCCACAAAAATCAATCGCAAGGAGGATGAGCATAGGTACTTGTGAACAGAACTATTTTTTAGCTCTCCTCCTATTTTTCCCCCTCTAAAATCCGTGATTCATCATTCAGTTTTTGTTTTCTTTTAATTTCAATTATTTTCTGATCTTTTCTGTTTTCTGTGTAAAATCAGATGCAAAAATACATGTTTTATATCTATGCCGCTGGTTATAATATGAGGCAGGCGTTACCTGTGAAAGGGGACGAAGTCTGTATGAATTATTTTTTTTTAATTCAAACATATTTTAACTTCAAAATCTGTTTAAAAAAGAAACGGAAATACCCTTACGTTTCCGATTTCGGTTCTGTTGTTCGGAATTTTAGTTGTGACGTTATTTATGTTATGACGTCATATTCGATGTAAACAAAGAAACGCTATCAGGTAACGTTTTTTCATATCAAGCCATTCAAGGAATTATTAAAAATGGAATTGGTATTGCGTTCCTTCCTATATTTTACTAGACTGATAAATATATATTTTACTCAAAAACTCATGCAAACGAGACCGGAAAAAGGAAGTAGATTTCTGCGCAAATGCGGGAAAATAAAAAAGTCTGAAAACAAAAAAGTTAACGATTTTGAGTTCATTAGTACAATGAAAATTTCGGGAAATTTTCCCGATTTTTTTTTTTTATTGATTTTTCTACCGTAATAGGGGACTTCGTCCCCTTATAAAGATTAAGAAAGTGTGTTGCCCGGTATTTCTATTTTCTACGAGAAGCAGTGGCGGTCATATTTGATGATCTTTGATGGCACGGTTCAGACACAGGCACTTTTTTTTTTATTGATTTTTCTACCGTAATAGGGGACTTCGTCCCCTTATTAACATGAATATACTAGAAATACATGCATTTGCTATTTACTACCAGAGACATGTACATAAAAGTACAATTATATGTCTTATATGTCTGTTACTATCAATTCCTAGTTAACTAGTCACAGAGGGTGGTAAATGGTTATTTTCGTGCAACGTGTTTTGCCATTTTTATTTCACGTGCAGCCGTGAAAAAGGTTTGTTATTCACCGTGTTTTCTGAAATCGGTAACTTGAAAGATCAACGTGCAAGAAATTTTTAATTGTTCGTTCATGCATCTTGAAATGGCAATTTTATTTCGCGTTCTTCCGTGCAGATACCCCCCTTTACGCCCCTCTTCACAGCGGCCTCTGATAGTAAATAAGAGAGAGAACCACCGACAGTGGCGGATTAAGAAATTTTCATAAGGGAGGCCACTGACTGCTTAAGAGGGGGCCCGCTCCAGTCAAGCTTCAGTAATTCCCAAAATAATCAACCAAATTTCATTCCCACAAAAGGGGGGGGGGCGGCCCCCTTGGAAAACCCTCTAAATCCGCTTCTGACCGACCTTCGGCAGAAAAAAACAATTAAGACCCGCAGTCGAACGCACCTGCAACTGTTGCCAGGGGCGTGTTTTTTTGTTCTTCGGTAGTGAGCCAGAAGAGGTTCATTTCTGTTTTTTTTTTTTTGCATAGGGAAGATCTTCTGGCTCTCTTCCACCTCGTTCTTTTTTGATAGGTACTTTAGACGACAGAGGCACATAACAAACATGGCGTCGTTTAGTCTAAATGACATTAATAAATTTATGAATGCAGATATATTAGAATGTGAGCTGTGTTATAAACGTTTTTATGGTATGGCAGTCTTAGTAGGACATCCCTGTAGGACGATAAGCTGGATAAATATAAGAACTACACGGACAATAACAGTTAAGGGACGACTATTTAATATTCTAGGGAAGGTATTTTGATTGATTGGTGTTTAACGCTACTTTCAACACTAAGTTGGGCTATTCCGTGGTGGTCAGTTTAAATTTTTAGACGAAGAATGGGGAAGGGAAGAGGGCATTACTAACTTTTTTAATCTGTCGCTTATTATGCCTATTTTTCAGCTCTTACCGGCCAACCATATTCATATATGAAATCCTCCTGCCCCCACCCCAATAAATGAATGAATATCAAATGGTTTTTCTTCTTATTTAACACAAGTTTAAATTGATTGATTGTTTGTTGCTAATTTTTAACGCCCAGTGACAAATATGTCATGCATGTTCAGGACTCGGTTCAGGAAACACAAGTTTAAAAGTCAGGTAAATAAATAAAAACGAAGAAATGTATGAATGCTAATGAGGCAACTATCCACCGGAGTTCAAATATGAAGTGGATGTAAGCAATTATAGGCCAGGCGCGTAGCTACGTTTACGTCAAAACGCCCG